TAGGATTTTTGTTGTTGTTCTTAATCTTGACGGTAACTCTATTCTTCCAGTTTTAGGGCCAAAAATCTTGAAGTCATCATTGATTCTTCTCTTATATACCTCATCCAGTTAGTAAATGCTTATAGCTTTAATTACAAAATATGTGCCATCTGAGGACTTTTGATTACCTCTAGCATTAACACTCTAGTTTCAGCTGCCATCATCTTTTGTCTGTATTACTATAGTTGCCTCTTTATATATCTCCCTGTTTCCATTTTGTGTCTCCTATAATCTAGTCTCAATCTACCAATCAGAATGATTACTTAAAAACAAAACAGAATAAGACAAGTCCGATCATGACACTCTGCGCCAGAAACTTCAAAAGCCCCCTGTTTTATTCAGAGTCAAAGCCTACAAGGCCCTCTCTCACTACTTCCCTGGGCACTCACTCTGCTTGAGCCATTCTGACGTCCTTAGTGGGCCTCACCAGGCTTGCTTCTGCTATCTGGACTTCGAGTTGGCCGTTCCCTCTGTCTGAGATAATCTCATCCTTATATCTGCACAGCTGGCTCTCTCGTTCTCTCTGAGATAATCTCATCCTTGTATCTGCACAGCTGGCTCTCTCACCTCCTTCAGGCCATTGCTCAAAAATTTATCTTCTCAATTTTGTCTTGGGCTGATAGCACTAAGATTTCAAATTCCAAACCATATCCACTCCACTTCCTCAGTGCTCCTTTCTCAGCTTCTCTCTCTTTTCTTTTTCCATCGCCTTTTAGTACACTGTATAATTTATGCATTAGTTTATTGTGCATTGTTTGGCTTCCTCCAAGAGAATGTATCCTCTAGGAAGAAAAGCATTTTCGCTTTTTTTGCTGATAAATTCTTTTCAAAATGAACAAATAATGTCTGGCAATAGATGCTCCTTATATATAAATGCATAAATGAATGAAATAAATAAAAGTAAGATAAAATGAATGGATTATAATTATGAGTCTTTTATTTTAGTTGGGAGAAAATTAAAGGAGAGAAAGAAAACAATATACATTTAATTTATAGTGACTCAAGTGTATCTCTACATAAATATTGAAAACAGGAATCTCTTTAAGTAATACTGAACCCCTTTTAGTATTTGGATCATATATGAACACAAAATGGATATCTGAAAATATCAACCTGCCTTTCTGAGTAAGAATATAATGGAATTATTCTTGATTTGATTAATTTTTCAAAGATCATTTACTCTACTTTGCAGTAGTGTCCCATATGAACAGAGGATCTCTACACTGTTAAAATGGCTGGACCTGCCCCAAGCTGAAAGGTAATGTCAGAGAAGTGCTGGCACAGCGGGATATCTGTGGATCTGAAATGAAATTATGTCTTTACTTTAAATGACTTTTTTTGGGGGGGGGAAAAAAACCAATTTGGCATTTCCTTTAACTGGGCATTTTTCAAGAATTATTCTGAGCGCAGTTGACTTTTTGCTCTTGAGAATGTGATTGACACTATGGGACAATAGAGATAGAGTCAGTAGCAGAGAGCAGGGGCAAATGTCACAGAACCAGACGGGTTGGGAACAGAGCTGAGAGTGGATCTGAAACGTGGCCATGAGGACTGACTCAAGGAGCCCTAGGGGCCAGAGCAAGGCCATGGCAACAAGCTGGAGCCAGCGCCCTGGAAGAGAGCTCCAGGTCAGTGGTGCCTCAGAAACCAGACGTTTAAAGGGAAAACTAGTGGCAGAACAGAGCCAGCAAAATGTTAAGAAACCCGGACACCCAAAGGGCTAAAGCACACCAAGGAAGGTCTCAACAGCAGGAACGAGACAGGTTTTCATTACGTCTGGAAGGTCTTACTTAATCCCCATTAGGAGGCTATCCTTGCTGAGGCCAGGTGGAATCTCTGGACCAGGATGAAGAGAAGGAAACTGCCACAAAGTCCTAGATTTACAAAATTTCTGAATCCAACCTATAGGTTTATTCCAAATTGATAATAGCTTTCTCCATTTCAATTGTATTCCTAGACCCAGTTTTTATACCCTGTATGTTGAACAGCCTGATTCTGCAGGACATGAAAGTGGACCAGTCAGTGCCAATGTAAGTTTTTTTAAATAAATGTAAAGTCATCTAGCACTAACCCACAAAATAAAATGGTGTTCTTTGATTCTCTGAATACAAATGTATTTGATGTATACACGAGGAGATAAAATAGTTAAAAGTCTGAAAAACTATCTGCCTTATTAACCACAAAGTAGTTAAAATCTAAAAAGGATCTCTGTCTTATTAACCACATTTTGATCCATTTGATAAACACATTGAATATTTAAATGTAGCACTGTTATTTCATACAATGAAAATATCAAGGCTAGATGCTGCATGTACTAATTCAACATATTAATGTAACCCATTTTAAACCACATCACGTGTAAATCCACTGTGGAACATTCAGCTATTTATTCATGTCCAATTCCATTTATAAGTTTCTAATAATTGCACTTAATATGTTATTGCCTCAGGCAGGGTTATTCACCTCCTGGACCCCCATTATAATTGAAGTAGAATTTTTAACATTAGTTTCTTCATTATCTAAACTATTCTGTTATGCTTTTACCACAGAAATATAGTTCTTAAATGTTACTTAAAAAAAAAAAAAGTCATTTGTCTTCTAAAATCCACTGAAGGCTGTATTGCTGTAAAGCTGCAAAGGCCCCTGTTAGTATAGCATTTCCCTGCCCCACAGAAACTCATTGAACAGTTGTCCTCAACTGGAATGTGAGCATATTTATCCTGGCAGCACGACTTAGCTGTTTATCAGAAAAGCCCTTTATCCTCCTTCCCATTAAACCAAAATGATTTCTAATAGGAGGCACTGCCCATTCTTACCACTTTAACCTTTTAGTCGTTTATATTCCAATGCCACTCTTGACTATATCACTGACTTGAACACTAATCAGGTTATTCTAATGGTGAATGGCTCAGTAACTTTCCGAAGCATGTTCACCATTTCTTCTTTTCTATTTTAATTGTTATCCACATTTTATATGATTCATTACTTACTATAATCTGCATTTATATAATATGCTATAATCTGCGTTTGTCTTATTTGATTTAATATTAGGCACCGTATCTTTTTCTTTCAGTCGAGGAGGTCTCAATCTAGACTGGGTGGGAAAGAGGTTGGGGCTGGTTAGAAATGTTTCTGATTAACAAAAGGGGAAAAGTTCACAAATGGCCTGATTGAGGAAGGAGCTGAACACATTAGAGGATCACATAGAATGAACAAATGGACAGACAGACAAAAGGACAGATAGCTAGACAAATAGACACCATGATAATGGTAAAAATAATAACAGCAGCTAACCCTTGTGTTCTCCGCTGTGCCAGGTACTGTTCAAATTGTTATATGAGTATTCTCTCCCATCTATGTCTGGAGCATTGTGCCAGGGGAGAGGGCTAAGAGGAAGCCTAGAGAAGGAAAGTAAAAGAGGGATTAGACCAAGTCTCATTAAAACTTAAGAAGATGGAAAAACAGGAAAGCTTAATGGCTTTATCATCATTGTTGTTGTTCTTAATTACAAATTTTGATTCAGAATTAATATGACATAATTGAAAAGTAAAAAGGCAATTTTAGTTTGTTTTGACTCATTTACTTATGATGAAAGTTTATTGGGAGCATTTGAGATCTTGCTTCCCAGCAATTGTCATCAGTTTTGGTTCAAATAAACTCATAAAAATTAAAAAAAAAATTTATTAACTTATTCCAGATTTTTCAGTTATCAATACCTTTCTTGTTTTTGTTCTGCTATGCCTTTAAATCCTATTTTTAACAGTTTCCGGTGCCTTGATATTGTGCTAAGCTTTCTTAGGGGTGAAGAAGAAAAGGTCCTTACTGTCAGAAACCATGTTGAAGAGGCAAATAAAGGAAATAGTGAATTAATGTACGACACTGATGTTCTTTCTTTTTCTTTTTTTTTTTTGAAGCCTTAAAAATTTTGATAGCATAAACAGTGTTTTAAATGGGAAATTATGGCCTGTTATAGCTGGAGAAGGCTTTATGAAATGGAGATGTAGAGGGTGGTAGGATTTGGACAGGCAAGAAGGAGGGAGAGAGGCATTTGAAGTATAGTGAAACCAGGAACTTCTTAATAACAAATTTGATACAATGAATCTCCAGTATTGAAGTTGAATTAGGCACAGAATGGCCTGTTTAGTTCTGAATAACTTTAAGTAATGGTCTAGTACTTCAGTAAGATTTAGCTGTTATTCATTATTGAAAAAAAATTATTACATCTTAGATGAAATGAAAAGTTGGGAAGAAAAATTCAACTCAGAAATGAAAATTGAAATTGGCAACAGATTGATTTTGATGTTAGTATTTCTCACATATACGGTGAAAGAATTTCAGAGTACTGAATAATTGCACTTCAGGGGAAACATGTAGAGTTAAAACAATACGAGAAAGATGTTGCACTTTTTGAAAAACAGATTATGTGGATGCTGAGTAGAGCTTTCTGATAGTAGGATCCACTGCAACCTGAAATTCCATTTTATAAAAAGAGACTTCTGGATCCAAAACACAGTTATTCATTGAGGATCTTACCAGTTAATTCCTTATACCAGCATTGATTTTGCTGTTTCCACAATATCCACTGTCAAAGTGAATGATCACGATTCTATGTGAAAGAAGCAGAGTTTCTTTCTACCCAAACATGGTTGGCCTCACACTTGTAAACATTTCTGTCTCCTTTAATTATCTTGCCATCCAAAAAATTGCTCACTCATTGCCTGTTACAGGGATTCTTGTTTCTTTCCTGTGTCTGGGTTAGAACTGAGGCTATAGCATCAAGTCATTTCACATTCAGTGCGTACTTTGTGAGACTGTGCTCAGGAAGTGTGTGATGAGTGAAGTCTCACAGTCTCTTCCTTGCAAGAGCACACATTGTCCTGGGGGAGGTAGACACACGCACAGATGATTTCAAAACTACGGAGAGTCCAGAGGTAGCAGAATGCCTGGGTGATGGGAAACAACAGAGAAAGAGGGGCTCTTTGTGCAGGAGAGAGGCGTGAGTAGGGGTGAAAGGGGCCGTGACAACAGGTGGAAACCGTAGCTCTCACTGGCAGACCATAGTGCATGGTCACCGTAAAAATGAGGGTCAGGAAAACATCTTGGAGTTGATGGGTTTAGCAGTGATAGAGATGGTTTGAGTTCAAGTCCTGCTCTGTCCCTTATTAACTGTGGGGCCATGAATATGTTACCTTCTCAAGTTTCCTGGTCTCTACAACCGGAAGTTCCAATACTACCATTCATGAATGTTTGCTGTGAGGATTTCTTAAGGTTATGCGCTAAACCTTTTAACAGTAATTGTAGAATTCTTTCTCTAAAAAGAAAAAAAAGGCAATCATTATTATTATAGTACTGAGATATTAAAGTTTTTCCTCAATCTATGGCTATTATACATTTTTATTCACTGAAAAAAAAGTAATGAAAAGTGATATCAGTTAAAAGTTATTCACTTAAATCTTAAGCCAATTCAATGTACTATATTGATAAAGTGTAGACAAATTTGAAAACGTAAGAGTACAGACAATAAAATAAAAACGAACCCCAATTCACTATTCAGGGACAACCACTGTTAATGGTACCTTGATATATTTGCTTTTCATTGTCTGTGCTTGTTTTCTTACTAAGAAATGCTAAATATACTTGAAAACAAAATCAGTATGTATGGGTATGTATACAGTTTGGTTTTACTTTTTATGTTTAGCATCGTATTGTGAGCATTGTCCTATGCCATTGGTCTTCAAAAAATATTTTTTTAATGGATATTGAGTATGCCTCCTTAAAGATGTGATGTAATTTATATTTTGTATTTAAATTCTAAATAAATAAAATGATGAATATCCTTGTATGCAAATCTCTATTTGTACTGTTTATTTAGGACAGGTGCTCAGGAATAAAATTATTAGGTTACAGGATGTGGCCCATTTTAACTCACTGGATACTCATTGTCACATGGTCCTCTAGAATGTGTGTACATGTTTAGGTTCCCATGGAAGTGTCTGTGGACTCCCTTCCCCAAATTAGGCATTATCATGAAAACCTTTGTAGTTGAATAATGTTTGTTGAGGTCAAACATTTTTCTCAGATATTTATTGGACAGTGGTTTATCATCCTTTGGAGGGAACATGGTTTAATTTTTTTATTTATGGGAATTCAGGAAATTGATGCTGGCCACTAATGTCCTATCTCAAAAACCAGAAATTTTAGAGGAAGAAATGTGTTTAATTTTACTTGATTAGATAATGATTTCATTAATTAAACTTTAAATCATGAAGACAAGCTTAACTTCAATTTTTTTTCCCTTAGGTAGTTCAAGCGTTACAGTTAGTAGATAACGCTTTTGGAATGTTGATGGAAGGTCTAAAACAGCGGAACTTAGACAGTTGTGTCAATATAATCCTTTTGGCTGACCATGGTATGCTTTTTTTAAAAAAATTATATTTTATCATTGATTATATCTTATACAAAGAATAGTAACATTTTTAAGTCAGTACTGCCAGACCTACAAGCTGTTGAATAAGCAAAGAATTAGTTTGGGGGAGGCCGTGATAGAGGACTAAAATTAAAATTTCTAGTTTAATTATTCTAAAATTTATTCTGAAAATCTATACATACGCTTAATTTTCTGTAAAAATTGAGTTTGCATTAGTTAACAAATGTAGTTGGATTGTTAATCATAAAAAGTGCTTTTGGGGCTTTATTTCAGCGGGTCATTTATTCATATAATAGATTGGCAATACTTTGCTATGTTAGCTAGTTTTATCACGTCCCGTGGATTGTTTTAGTTATGTAAATAGACTTTTATAAAGTCCCTGTCACTCTACTTGAGGTTAACTCTTCATTTTGGTTAACTTGAGTGTTAAAGGAAGTGGAACAGCTGCCACCACCCTCTGCCACCTCAGTCTTAAAGTACTAGTTCATTTAAATATTTTGTAAGTGGCTACTACTCAACGCTGAGTACTTTACTGAATATGGTGTAATCAGAAGTACGTAAAGTAGAAATGGACCTTTTCTAGATGGGGTGGTCAGAATTGTTTTTTCTAGGAGGACATTCCATGTCCTCCAATGGCTATGAAGGAACCTCACCTAGGGGGAGAAGAGGAAAAGGAGCATATCTGCAGAACTTTTGTTTATATTTTAGGACATCAGGATAATGTGAAAGAGTCATTTATTTAAAATTTTTCTAAAAAGATTTCCTAATATTTTGGCCTATTGCTTTTAAAATTAAAGGAACTACTTTAATACATGCTTTGTTAAAAGAAGTTATAAAACGAAAAATTAAAATTAAAAATAACAAAAATTTAGATGGAGTCTAAAGAATCTTTAAATAAAAAAGGTTTAACAACCAAATCTTTTTTAGAGCACACTCTGCTTATATAAAATTAAACAGTACACTTAGGAAAACTAAATATCCTCTAGTCCTTATTCTCTTAATATATTGTTTCATTAAAATGCATATTACTGTTTTTATTTAAAAATATGTCATGTCGCCTTAGGTACAAATCAATTATTATAAAATCAAATACACTTCCTTCAAAATTACTTTAATTGATCCACATCCAAATAGTGATCTGTTTACAGTTTCTGGAATTCTACTCTTACAAACAAACTTTCTTTTCCACTGCCAGGATTTTCAAGGTCTGCCATTTAGAATAAAGAAATAGGGTAAATTGTTTAGATCCTCAGTAAAACTTGGTTTATCTATAACATAAAATCTCTCCTATTTGACAGAATTAAAGACAACCAGTAGTTACCATTTATATACATTCTGTGTATACCTTTTTTTTTTTTTTAATTTCAGGAATGGATCAGACTTATTGTGACAAGGTGGAATATATGACTGATTACTTTCCCCAAATAAACTTCTACATGTATCAAGGGCAGGGCCCCCGTATTAGGGCTCGCAATATACCTCATGACTTTTATAGCTGTAAGTATGAAGATGCCCATGTAGGAAAAAAAAGGTAAAAACTGAAAGTGAATAATGATTACTCCCTGATTCTAAGGATGTAGGGATTATCAGGCCACCTCCTCTGACTTCCTTGAGAAGACCACACAGAAACAAATGAGAAATTCCCATGTTTAAGTTGTCTATAAAGTCTATGGTAATATCTAATGTTATTAGGTTAAATATGCTACTCTATTCTTAAATGCTAAAATAATTCTTTGCTTAAAATAATGTTTTGATTTTACCAGATCATAGTCATTAATAAATGTATTGTCAAATTCACTTGAGTTGTACACATTTTTTGCAGTTGTCAAGTATCTATTGTAATGACTTCTATTTTTTCTTTTGAAACAGTTAATTCTGAAGAAATTGTTAGGAACCTCAGTGTAAGTACAGTCTCCTGGTACATATATTTAAAGTAATATAATTTCCTTAATCTAGGTCCCAAGAAATTTATAGTCTATATTTCTGAGTCCAAGCCACTTGTAATCTATTTTTTAAATTTTCTGTAATCCTTATCTTATATGCATGTCAGTTGCTTTTATCTTAGTTGTTTTCATTTTGGAGTTTACTCCACTACAGGAAATCAGCTTCGGGTAATAGTGACACTGACTTCTACTTTTCTTTGAATGGGCTGATGTTTCATTCAAAGGGGCCATACTAGTGAGCTTCAGGTAGCCTCGCTTTTCACATTTTTTGTGTGTGACTTAATATCAGAAAATAGTGAATCACAGTCTCGTATATCTTCTTGTGCAGGTCAGAAAAATCTTCTTCTAACCCTCTAAGTATAATTCCAACTGCTTTTGATTGATTGCCACATCCTGGGTGGTAAGAAAATAAGGAGGGCAAATTCCAGAGAGCTTAACATGATCTGGATTTTTCAAGGAGGATTTCACTGCTTCTGGAGAGACCTGAAATATTCTCATGGGGTAGTGTTAATAATTCTATAGAGTATAATCATAAATATATATCTACTATCTGGAATTTATGAGTTTACCATTGCTTGTGATGGGGCTTGTGTGTTATCCAATTGTAGTCAAAACTGTTAGAATGAAAGGTGAATGATTAAAGATAAGGAAACACTGGATGAAGAATGGTTATTATAACCTGGGATCCAGTTCACGTTTTAAGTAGGAATGGCTGCTGGCACAGAAAACCTTCAGCGTGTTCATCACTTTTTTTTCTCTTACATCTTCTAATATTCTGATCTTGAGTAAGCATGTTAGACAACCTCGCTCCCTACTGGTGAAGCACATACATGCAGTGTGTTCATGCTCATTGGATGGGTAGTTGAGAATTTTGAGCTTGTGGACTCTCTAAATCCACGCATTGTTTTCCCTTTAGTTCATTATCTCATGATCCATAGAGCTGAAGTCCTATTGCTGAGGTGAGGAAGGGGATCGAATAATCCCCTGGTGCAAGGGGATTAGATGCCACAGGCTTTGGAAATTCATTACATAGCATCACAGATTTGGACCGGGGCTGGTGCTGCAGAGCCTAAAGAAATGGACTACCATTTCACAAAGTAGTTCATTACTCATAGGAAAATATTTCCTGTGATAGTACAATATTCCAAGTAATGCTGTTCTGTGGGCCTATATTGAGCTTGTATTGGACAAACATAACCAAACATGAACTGGCAATTCTGTAAGTTCCACATCATTCTGGCTACATGACAGACAGTAGCATCGACTTTGTTCTTAGATAAAATTTCATCTCAACTCTAATGTTTTCATCTTAAATTCTCAAATGTAAAGAATGCTCTCATACTTCTTCAGAGATTGGCAGTGTACCCCCACTTTTCTCTGGATTTACTCCTGGCTACACGACAGACAGTAGCATCGATTTTGTTCTTAGATAAAATAATTAAAATTTCATCTCAACTCTAATGTTTTCATCTTAAATTCTCAAATGTAAAGAATGCTCTCATACTTCTTCAGAGATTGGCAGTGTACCCCCACTTTTCTCTGGATTTACTCTGGCTACATAACGACCCCACTAGGAAAGTATGACTTGTCAAGTGATCTGTGGTCCTGAAGGGCACATTCTCGATGCTTGTATCTTTCAGGAAGCTGCATACTCAGCATCTGCCATTATGCACTTGCCTGGAAGTTTCAAAACTATTAGCTTAAGAAGGAAGTAATGATAGATGAAAAGCAGAAAAATAAGAAGCCTGGAAAAAAATAGCAAAGTAGCAAGAAAAAAACTAGCAGAAATACCTGTACAATAAATAATTTTTCTTCCTACTTTTGTATTATAATGTTCTTTATTCTATTCTCTAATTTCTTTCAAAAGTGTTTTTTTGTTCAATTTCATAGTGTCTTTTATTTCCCTTATATAAAATGAGCATGAGATAAGAGTGACATAGACTCGAAGCATTTATGAGATTATTGAGGCTTAAAATAAATAAGAAAATGAGGAAGTAGAAAAAGATCACTTCCCCATGTCAATGTAAGAAACGTTTAAACCTGTAAAAAATTTGTATAAGAGTTTATTTGAGCCAAAACAGATGATGCTTCAGAAAAGAACAGTTTTGCAGTTTCTTTTGTGCACTTGAGATTAAAGAGGGAACTAAGGAAGATTGCATCAAGGTGGGAGAAAAGCAAGACAGGAATTACATTACAAGATAACAAGATTATGTGCTCTCTTAAGGATGGTTTTTATTTCAAAGACGTATTAACCTAGATGCACAAAAACAGTGGACAGGGCTTGCTTATAAAACTTTCACTAAAAATGTTATAGGCCTGGGGCGTGACTATATTCCCACAAGAACCTGCCCAGTTAGAAATTTATGATCAGATCACCTTGCGAGGTTACTTTCCATATAACCTTTTCATCCATATTCGTGTTTTTTGTTTTCTCTTGTTGCTTAAAAAGGTCATGTGGGAAAAAATTTCTTTTATAGTTCTATTTATTTCCTCACTTTATTACATAGGTACCAATTTGATTTTGTTTTTACATAGTTTTAAAATACACCATCTAGTTACTGCAGTAATGATTAAAGAAATAACATTTCTCTCCAATTTGTGAGAAATCTATGAATTTTTTAATAAATAGGGAAACTGCACTAGATTTTAAAAACAATTGACTTGATTTGAAAATAAAGCAAATCTAGGTTATTTAAATTGTAAATTGAGTCAATTGTGAAGGGAATTTTGGTGCAATTAAACTGATTTTTACAATTTTTACTCATATCTACTAATGTATTATATAGTTTTCATATATAATTTAGACTCCAAAGTTATAATTGCCATTTTAAATCTAGACTTCATATCTATTCTATTTCAAAAAAAAGAAGGAAGATTTATGGTGGTTTTAGATACATACACAGGAATAAAAACTTAGAACATCAAACAATATAACTTACATCATATTTTTAATTGTAGCCTAAAGGAAAACAATACAATTAGGGAATGTGACCACACTAATAATAGGTTTAATATTCCTATTTTATTAGCCAAGCTTAAATCTTCTTAATTTAAAAAGTGCTTAATAAATTGTCTTAGGAAGTGAAATTGTTGAATTAGCTCTTCTATTTTATGTGTCGAGAAGAAATAATTCACTTGCTTTTCAGTGCCAAAAACCTGATCAGCATTTCAAACCTTATTTGACTCCTGATTTGCCAAAACGACTACACTTTGCCAAAAATGTCAGAATTGACAAAGCTCATCTTTTGATGGATCGACAGTGGCTGGCTATGAGGTTTGTGTATCTATTTACTTCTGTTGTTGTACTTTTAACAACCATGTTGCATTATAAATTTACTTGACCTTATCCTGCTATTAAGAGCACATAAATTATTCTGAGAACGACATTTTCTTGACCTTTTATATTCTGTATTTGAAGAGACTGTTATTAGATAGCCAATCTTAGCATCCTAATCTTCCTGATATAGATGAGAATGAGGGAGAAGCCTGAGACTGTTCACTGACTTTCTGTACCAGCACATTCTTAACCCCTACTCTGGTCTCCTTTAGGTGGCAGACAGGATATAAAGATATCAGTTGTCTTCCAGGCTGGTAGTGAGTAAATGATTAGATGGCTCTTTAATATCTTTGTCATCTTTGTAGTTTTTATAAAAGAGCACGTTTATGCCTCTTTTAAGGCCAAGCCAATCAATTAGTTGTCACATTTCTTTTTTCTAGTTATTCTACATATTGATCTTTGAGCATTTGCAAAATATAAGTGTGATACTTGCTGTATGTGTGTCAGACTCCGTTCTAGGCATTTGAGATACAGAAATGATTTTTGTCCTTTTTGTCAAAAGGAGAAGACTGATCATAAGCCATATTTAAATTTTTTAATTTAAAATTTTGAATTTTTAAATTTAAATTTAAAATTTAAAAATCTTATTTTTAAATTTTTTTTCCATGTGCTTTAGCGAATATAGATGGAATCAGGATCATAATGTGTTTTCTGGCTTTTCTTTTTTGTATGCTACATAATGCCAGAGAAATACAGAAGACAACGGGAATACAGTGGCTGAAAGATATGTTTAACAGAGAAATAGGAGACAAAGGAAGATGAGCGAGTTGGGCTCTGATTTTAAGTGTGTGCAAGATAAGGAACTGATCTATAAGATATCAGGAAAGCCAAGCCATACACTGCTACGACAGAGTGTGCAGTTTTGAACCAGGCCACTAGATGGCACTGGCCTCTTTTTCTTGAGGTTGAAGTTTCATAGCCCTTTGTGTGGATCAGTGTGTACAGTGGCTTAGAACAGCATCCTATAAAAGAAGGTTAAAATACACGAACAAAATTAAGCTTCACTAATATTAAACATATGATATTGTTAGTAATTTATGTATATAACATATAAATAAATATGTATTCAAATGTGGCCAAGTCCTCCAACGAGTATGAAATAAAGGAGGTTAGGAGGCCACTGGTACAAATGAGAAAGTGCCCATCCATCCCACAACGTAATCTATGGGTCATAGAAAGAGAGTCCAGCCAGCAGAATACCTCTGTGTTTCACACAGTCTCAAATTATGAGTTTTGTATTTTTAATAGCTAGCAGCAGCCTGAGAGTTCAAAACTTGGCTCTGCACCTAGCTTGTTGTGAGAACTTGGACAAATTAATATCTCAGGGCTTCATTTTTCTCATCTATAACACAAAATGAGCCTGATTTTATTATTCTCTTGCTATTAGCATATAAAGAACTAACTTACATCCATCCAAGGGCATGTTGACTATAGCCGTCATTATAAATGTTGAGTACAGAGCAACCCGGGAGTATCATGTGAAGAAACCCTGTGATTACTCCAACTCTTAACACCTGAATCTCAGGCTACCTGTTTTCTAAGTTAAAGGACATTGTCTTTAGTTATGATGATCAATATTTGATAACTAGATTAGATTCTCCTTTCAAAAGCATTGCAAATTTCATCATTTAGTATAATCTGTTTCCATCATCATCGTCATCATCATCATCATCATTATCATCATTACCATCCTTATTTTGCCCAAAATGTGTTAGATTTTATTAATTTGGGGAAACTCGATTATTTGAAACTGTAGTCGAAGTGCCCTTTTAGAGAATATGAACAATAAATTTTATTTTATTGGAAATATTTATTGGAAATAAGCTTTTTATTTATTGGAGGCTGACAAACATATCCCAGCCACTGTTCTAAGAAATAGAGATAGACTCAGTCCCAACCCGAAGAATCTTTGCCCAGGCTGGGAGAAAGACAATTATAATCAACGTTAACAGCTGCACTTGGATCAAGTACAAGGCACAGGTGAAAGAGAATGCTTCCTGGTAGGTATGAATCCTGCTCTGGTTTTTGAAGACTCAGGACAGGTTAGGCGAAATGCTGCCACATGTAGCACATTGGCCCTGTATAGTTGTGCAGTCTGTGCATTGTAAGAGGCACTCAGCCAGGAAAATAAGTGGGAGCAGAAATGTAACCCTCGCTCAGCTCATGAGCCCTGACAGGGGCTGTGTCTGCAGGAAGAAAGAGACCACTTTTCTCTGCTAGAAGTTAACCATCTGCTGTCAAGCCTTGAATGCTGCCAGGCTGTCTTCTCAGAGGTGCTTCTTTCTCTAAATGCTCTTCCCACAGCAGTCGGGCACCTTTGAAAGCCAGCAGCAGCTCTGGGGCAAGGAAAGGTAGAAAGAGTCAGGTTTCCAGGCAGAAGAACTAAAATCCAGCAATTGCAGGTAGTTCTATATTGCTGGAACACTGGGTGAATAAAGTTGGCCTCTGCATGAAGAACCTGATCTGTCATGACTAAAGAATATGACTTTGACCATGAAGAAAATAGACCATTGGTAGAAACAAGGTGGCTGGAGGTGAATACAATGGGATTTGCATTTCAGAGAGCTCAGTCCAGTGGCCAAACAGAGGATGGTCAAGTGAGTGGCAGGGAGGCCAGTTAGGAAGATGCGAAGGGATTCATTCTTTAGTGTTTTAACAGCTCCAAGGGAGGCTGTGGAGCCATGGGGGATGACGCTAAGACTAGTTAGGTAACACATTATCAGGAAAGTAATTATAGTGAACTTAAGTCTCAGATTTTCCAGGATAATACTGGTTCATCATATTTTGTCCCACACATATTCATTAAAACATGAATTTCATTTACAGCAGTGATAGTGTTAAATATGATTTAGGGTTAGGGGTGTGTGTTTGTTATATGGGAAGATTCTGAAGTTACAAGTCAGGATAACCAATCAGAAAATTTGTCAGCTCAGAGGTAAAGAGGATCTAACTTAGAATGGTGGCAGCAGGAGAGCAAAGCAAGGGAAAAGGCAAACAGTACTGCAGAGGAAGATAGACCTTGGCAACTGGTTGGGCTTCAGGAAAGAAGTCTCGCTCACCTCCCATTGTGTCACTACCCAACTGTAGCAGAGAAACCTGGCCTCGATCTCAACTTTATTAATTAGACATGAAGAAGATAAAGAATTTGTTCCAAAAGGTTCTATGTAGTACTTGGAAGTTGATCTAAATTATGGCAGATAAAATCAACTCATTTTTTCCAAATGCCAGCTTCCATTTTTTCATATGTAATTTCCAGAGCCAAATTAATGGTTGGAAACATAAACAGAACAGTTAGAAGAGCAAATTTCTAAAGTTTTTACTTGCGGTAGAAAATAGAGCTTTTTCAAACAATATTTTTTATCTTTTGGTTCAGATAAAGCTTTGCAATATTTACTAAAGTTTTCTAATAGCGTTGGGTTAGGAGTTGAAAATATTTCTTTAAAAAATCCAGACTTTTCTGAAATTAGAAAGATAAATAAAGGATCAATTTTAGAAAAATTTACCAATGATATTGTTCAAAAGAACATTTCTTTCATTAATGAATACTCTAGCTTTTCATACAGAATTTAAAACAATTATATATAATCAAATAGTTCTAATAAATTTAGGGAACCAAATATCTATGCAATAAGAATAAAAATATTTTTTAAACAACTTTTACCTATAATTTTATGGGAATTAACTAAGAAAAGGACATGAACCGGCACCTTAGGGTAATCAAATTTAAAGACAAAGAAAAGTGTGTGTGTGTGTGTGTGTGTGTGTGTGTGTGTTTGCCCCTTGGGGAGTAGAAGGCAAGAGACATCTTACAAGGCCAACCTTTGGAAATAGGAGTCCTTTTTTCACTTTAGAGACCTAATTTAAACCAGTATAACATTGTCGCTTAAAAAAAAATCAAGGTTCATTTATTGCTATTTTATTTTCAACTATAAAACCCAACTACATATAAAATTACTGATACTGCTCAATTCATAGATTAAAATATGAAAAAGTAGTCAAAAGACAAATTAATTAGATTTGAAAAGTCATTCAACTAATAGAACAACAGACTATGGTAGAAAATTTCATAAATTAAAAATAAACTCTGAGTTTACAGAATATACTGGCTTCTTGTTACCAAGTGTCATAATCAACTTACCCTGAGTAGTCTTTATTCACACTTTTATATTATTTTCTCTGCTGTAAAATAGGAATCAATATTTTTTCCCAGATTCAAAAATTTAATTCTAAAGCGCTGAAATGCTCAAAGTAACATATTAATCAAACTGTTCTTAATCATACAGACATTAATGTGTAAGGGTGCAGGTAAACATGAAAGTGATTTTTTTAAATCTATGCCTTTGTTAATATCCTTTCGTCAATGTCTAAGAGCCAAAGGCTTTGGAATTCTATTTGCAGACTGTGAAATTCTCCTTCCTTCTCTTCTACCATTTTGTTTGTTCCTTTGTGGTTGCGAATTTGAGCTTGAAAATAACTACATTTATCCTGTTGTTGACAGAAAACCTTACGTAAAGCAAAAGCTGCATAAAAATCTACTAAAACCCTGTTTGCCATAAGATCTCATATCAATAGATTGATCAGAGTATAATAATATTATTTCTTTATAGGAGTAAATCAAGTTCATCCTGTGGAGGAGGCACCCATGGTTTTGACAATAAGTTTAAGGCCATGGAGGTAAGTTACTGCTTTTTTCTTTAAACAAATATTTATAAAGCACCTATTTTGTGATAGGTAATGTTCTTGAATATATCTGTAAACAAAACAGATAAAGATCCCTGCTCTCATGAAGCTTTCATTCTAACAGGGGATTATGAACAATTGGAATAATAAAGGAATATATTATTTGGTATGTTACAGGTAAGTGCTATACTATGGGAAATAAAGAAAAAGTAAAGCAGAGTAGATGAAAATTGGGGATGTTTTGTGGTGCCATGCAAACAGTATGAATCTTTAAATAAGGCGGAGAGGGTAAGATTCATTCAGCTGACATTTAAGCAAAGACTTAAAAGGTGAAAGAAATAACTTTCATTGAGGGGCAAGTGTCCCAGGCAGAAGAAACAGCCAGTGCAAAGGCACTGAGGTGGGAGTGTGCATGATGTGTTGGGAGGTGGTTTGAGCCTTCGTTGGCTGTTGAAAGGCTGTTCAACTGTGACTGCAGCTTAACGGAGGGGAAGGAGTGAGAGCTCAGTTGGACATGTTAAGTTCAAAATATTTATTAGACATGTAAGTAGAGATGTTATATAAGCAATTAAAGAGAGAGTGTACTGGGAGATAAACAATAGAGTTTAAGGTATATAAATTATTTAAAAGATAAATGACTAGATAAAATCCTCAGGGACTGAGTATAGGTAGAGAGGAGGACCAAGTACTGAGCCCTAAGCACTTCTACTTGAAGAGGTTGGGAGAAAAGGAGTTAATAGCAAAGAGACCTAAAAGTAGAGCCAGTGAGAAAAGAAACAAATTGGGAGAGTGGGGTGTTCTGGAAGCCCAGGAAAGAAACTATTTGGAGGAGTCCATGGTTAAAGTGTAACCAATATTCTCCCGTACATACAGCTTAATGATGTTTGCAACCTGATTGATCTAGTTTAATTTGTAATACATACCCGCACATAACACACACACACACTTCTAAGTCTGCATTCTCTCTCTGTAACAGTGCCACTATGTACCCAGTTGCCCAACAAATAAACCTAAGTATTGTTTCATTTCCTCCCTTTCTTTTCTGGCCACATCTAAGCAATCACAAGCCTTTTTGATTCAACCTTTTAAATATTTCTACCCTCCTACTCCTGGACAACTACAATAGGCTCAGTGTGACTCGCCCTGCTCATTGTCTTGTCACCCCCACAGACCCATCATCTGTACTGCCTTCAAGGTGATATTTCTAAAACACACACACACACACACACACACACACACACACACACACATACACATGCACACACACACTCCATTCCAAATAGAGAAAAATGTGTTAGTCTATGAATATACTGACTCTTAACATTGTAATGATGAGTTAGTTACATGTCTTTGTAAATACTTTTTAAAAATCTCTGTTAATTAGGGTACTATTTGATAATTAAGTAATTACTGTAAGGAAAACCTATGCCTCCAATTTTTTGCTGATTATTTTTTGGGGAAAAGAAATGTATATATATCCCTCTGCGACCAGAAAGAATTATTTATTTGTACCTGATACTTTTCTTTTAGGTATTTGTAATCTAAAACAATTAGATGTTATAAATAGTATAATTAAATTAACATCAAATAATTAAATATAAATTCAAATATTTAGGCCTTTTCATCCTAAAAAAAGTAAAGAGGAGATATATTTGAAAAATCGGTGGGTTCGTATGAGTTGTGCAAAACTTTAATGCTCAGTAACTTCGATATTTTTGGTCATGTATTAACATATTTGAGCAATGATATGAAAGAAATGTGAAAAGAATATATAATGGTGAATTTCTAATTTATATTGTCCAGATATTGTAGAATCGTGCTGACTTTGGTTGTCCAGTGTTTCCTGTATTCTCTTAGTCCTTTGACATATAAGATGCTGTAGAAGCACGTAGATTTAGAAAAAATAAACACAGTATGGATTATATCTGATTGAGACTGGTACAACATCACAGGTGGAAATAATGTAAAACTCATCTTCAAATCTGAAAAGAAATCCTTTCAGAGGCCTAAATATAAATAGGAGAGTTATTACAGAAAGAAAATTGTGTCCCTTCCAATATCTGTTTTTGAGTTTAGATGGCATCTAGTAATCATAAGATTATCGTCACCTAGGCTCTCTTTTTGGCACATGGACCCAGTTTTAAAGAGAAGACTGAAGTTGAACCATTTGACAATATTGAAGTCTATAACCTAATATGTGGTAAGTATATCTATATAAATTCAACAGCAAAATATGGATAAAATTTTTAAAATATGTATTTCAAAATTGGTGATTCATTGAATACCAGAGGTGGAGACTCTTTACTAGTAAGACAGAAAGTAGAAAATATGATAAAGAATTATTTGTTATTGAGAGTTATTCAGCTATAAGAATGAATTCTTTTTTTTTTTTTTTTCTAGTAATGCTAAACATTAGCTCTCAGGAGACCAGCTTTTGTGTTAGTTACTATACAAAAATTGAATTTAATAAAACTTAGGTAAATTAAGTCACACTTCCAACTTTTGAAAGAAAAAAATACACCTAAAAACATAAGTATTTTGTTGTAATAATTACAGAGAGAAAGCTTCTGGCATAAAAGGATAGTAAGAATGTCCTATTTGGATAGACATTTTTTATTACCTTTAATGTTAAAAAAACCTAAAAGAGAGTTTTGCGGAATCTAACCTATCTTTCTGCCTATATGCTTACCTTAGATATTCGTATTAACAAGTCACTTATCTAGGCAAGGCAATGAGTAAGTTGTAATTTCACCTTTAGTTTTAGGAAATCAGACATAGTATATTCACAGTTGTGATTCTTAATCTTGTCAAAGGCTTATGGTACTTGGATATGACTTAGAGAGCAAAGAGTATCCATTTAAAAATAATGTCTAGTTGCTTTAACAACTTACGTTTTTGGTTCCCATGCTGAATTTTTGGTTCTCTTTGCGGGGAGGCTTAGAAGGAACCAGGTAGGATTCCAGCTCTAGGAGAGAGCTATTTGGTGGTGCTCAGCAGGAGCCACTTAAAAGCCTATGTTTATAAAATATTTGTGTTTTGTTTTTATAAAAAAAATTAGGAAAAGTTTTCTAAATATTAAACAAAAGTTACTCTTTTAATTTTTAAAAGTATCTCCCTAGAGAATTTTCATATAATTAAGTAAATACAAGTAAGAATATTTAACTTCTGACTTCTGTAAACTTATGTTTACCAGAAGTATAGCTTTCTATGCTAGAAAACCATGATATGCTTAAGGAACAAAGTGATCATTTAAGCGATGATGTTTTTCTTTGGAGAAACAAATAGTTCCTGAAATTTCCTGCAACTCATCTATAATCACTGTTTCTATTCTCTTGAAAGACTAGGTGATAGAAACTCTAAGGGAAGAAAGTCCGTAAACCAGATAGCTTATGCAGTATGAGCCTGCATCACAGCAGAATTTATTAAAGTGAACAGTAGATGTTCATTCTCCTATTTCTTACATAGGTGTTGTTGCCTTCCAATTTAAGTCTACTTTGAACTTATTTTTTGAAACAGATCTTCTACACATTCAACCAGCACCAAACAATGGTACCCATGGTAGTTTAAACCATCTTCTGAAGGTGCCTTTTTATGAGCCGTCTCATGCAGAGGAAGTGTCCAAGTTTTCAGTTTGTGGCTTTACTAGTCCATTGCCCACAGATACTCTAGATTGTTCATGCCCTATGCTAAAATATGTAAGTAATAACTTCATATATCTATGAGAATGTAAAGGGATAAGCTAAGCTATGATCAGGGTAGCAGACAACTAGGTTTGCATTCTAGCTTGAATATTTACTATGTAAATATATGTGATTTCTCTGAACCTTATCTGGAAATGAGAGATATATTGTAAGATTAATTATGTGAATGTGCTTTGTAAACTGGAAAGTACTATTTGGAAATTGTTAATCTCTTTTGAGCTGTCGGCATTCAAAACAATAGAATCTTAGAGCTCTTTTTTTTTTTTTTTTTCTTTTTGAGGACAGCCTTCTTTTTAAATTAAATTTATTGGGGTCACATTAGTTAATAAAATTATGCAGATTTTAAGTGCACAGTTCAATAATATGTCATATGTATATTGCATTGTGTGTTCACCACTCAAAGTTAAGTTTCCTTTTGTCACCATATATTTGACCCCCTTTATCTACATTCGCCCCCTCCCCATTTCCCTTCTAAACCATCCCTCTTACATTTTAAGAATCAGATGGTCATGCTTGGTTATTTAGAGCAGAAATAATTATGACAGTGCAGGGATTGTGATCTACTGTTAGGCACACCCATAGGGAAGGTGCTGTGTAGTTTACTCAACAAGAAGGCTAGCATTCAAAAAAGAAAGTGTTCCTTTGGGTAGCAGTGAAGGATCCCCTTTGGGCACCTCTTGGAGGCTTTGGGAAGGTCTTTTTACTGAGTCAGGTGACCTGCCAAGTTCAGGAGCAGGACTTCAGATCCTTGGAGACTTTAAACAAGGTGAGATTCCAGTATGAGGAGAGGCCCTCCAAAGGCAAGGAGTCAGAACAGTTGCTCAGAATGCAAAGACCAAGCCCACCTGTGAGAATTAGAGCAATGAGTAGAGCACGGAATGGAACTGGAGCCCAGCTGCCAGGTGTCTGTCAAGCTAAAACTAGTATCAAGGGGCATTTGGTGCAAGTTCAAAATGTGGTTGTAGAGCTAAATAAATTGCCTGCTGCCTCAGCTAAGAATTATTCCTTAGGGCCAGGAGCCAGCAAAGACTTTACATTCTCTAATCCTCAAAATAATATTATATCACATATAAATAAATCCATAAATAAATAAGCACACAAAAGAGGCTTTAAGGAACAAAAGTCCACTCAGTCAAGCCTCCCAATAAAAATCAAATCCACACGAAAGATCAGAGTGGGAGTGTGGGTTTCCTACCTACTGCTACAGATAATCTCAATGGAACTGCCACTTAAAATAATAATAATAATAATTAATAATAATAATAAACATCACAAAGCAGGTGCTTTAGTCCCCAATTTAGAGTTAAAGGGGGCTCAGAAATCAAAGTAAATTGCCGAGGTTACAGGAGGTTGGTCTTCCTGTTGGCAATGCCAAGTTCTTCTCTGTGAAGAATGCCCTTTGCTACTCAAAGTGTGGTCCCAGGATCAGCATCTGCATCACTTGCAAGCCAATTAGAGATCCAGAACCTCAGGCCCCACTGAGCTCAGGCTTAATGTATCAGAATCTTCATTTTAACAAGACCTTCAAGTGAGTTATATGCGGATTAAAGTTTGAGAAGCCCTAGGATGTTGTTATCCCAATGATTCCAACTGTGGCCAGAATGCTTTACTCCATTATCCATTATCGTTGCAAACTCTCACAGAAAAGTATTCCAAAGAATACTATACTAAATTTCGGAGTAAATGGCAGAATTGGAATCTAAATTCAAATCAATCTGGCTCCTTTGTTTAGTGGTAAAACGTTCATGTGATTACTACAGAAATAATCTTGATCATCTTCCCATTCCACATTATCTTGCAGAATGCTTCTGAAGAACAGGTGAATCAAATGCTAAATCTCACTCAAGATGAAAGTAAGTCAATAGAAAACATGTCTTTGATGTTTAGACCTACACAAAACACAATATTGCCTTTTTGGAATCCTTCGAAAGAGGTTCACAGGGGCTTTTGGACATAAAAATTTTATTGCCAATGTAAGGATCTAAAAACAACAACAACCCAGAACTAATAACAACCATAGCAAGCATTGGGGTTGTTACAATGGTTCCAGGAACAGAGCATAACAGATTCCATGAAATGGTTATGCTTTACATATAGTCTCCTCTTCCCTTTCTTAGATGTGAACAGAACAAACTGCTTGGGTTTGAGTATTACCTCCACTGTTTCTTGGCTGCAGAACCTGGACCAAATCATTTCACCTCTCTGTGCCTCTGTCTCCTCAACTATAATAATGGTATCCACCTCATATAGTTGTAAAGATTAAAAGAGTTAACCTATAGAAAGAATTTAGAATAGTGCCAGGCAATATTATTATTACCTATCATTTTTTTAAGTATTCTTGTATTAAACATTAAGTATTCATGTGTAAAATAGGGATGCCTACTCTATAGAGTTATTATGAAAATTAATGAGTTAATGTATGTGTGCATTTAGAATAGTGCCTGGCACACAGTAAGAGTTTAGTAAGTGTGCAGTTTTTGATATTCTTATAATCTGCTGAGTGTTATTCCATGGCACAAATATCTTGCAGGTTTTTTAAATCAGTAATTGGTGGATTTTTAGATTGCAATAGTACATTAGGACATACCTATTATAAAATTCCACTATCTTTCCTATGACAATTATTAAAGTAGATCCTCTTTGTTATAAAGTATGTACTTTTGATTTTGAGGTTTTATCTCTTCAAATAAGTGCTGTGAGCTGTTAGCTCTTGGCTAAATTACTTATCTAAGTCTTTGTTTTGTAATCTGTAGAATGGAATAATACCTACCTCACAGGGTTGGTGTTAATTGGCACATAATAAGCCATCAGAGAATTGTAGTTATTATGCATAGAAGCACTTAATTTCACAAATGTTTTTATTTTATGTTTTGTTTTGTTTTAAATTTTAGTCACAGCAACAGAGAAACTAAATTTGCCTTTTGGAAGGCCCAGGGTTATGCAGGAGAACAAAGAACACTGTCTCCTTTATCACAGAGAATATGTCAGTGGATTTGGAAAAGCTATCAGGATGCCCATGTGGAGCTCATACACAGTCCCCAAACCGGTAAATTTCTATGTCGATTGATCTATGCAGGCTGGAAAACAACTGTAGTTCTCTATTAATTCTAAGAGTTGAGTTTTGATTTTCAGTAGAGATCCCAAAGGAAGTTCACTGGCCTGTGTCTTATAAGACAATGTTCCAAGCATTGCTTAAAGATATTTATAGGTGTTATGTGGGTAGAAGAGAGGAACACATTGTGTTTTGCCTGCAAAAAATTGTTTACAGGCCAGTTGGCCAATTGGTAAGGTAGGTGGGAAAGAAGATTTCAAAGAGAAGGAACAGGAAGTACAGAGGCACATTATTCATTTGGTATATTCTAAGTATATGGGGTGCGTACTTAGAAGGTAATGGTAACTAGATTATAAAGACCCTTGTATTTATTTGATTATTTAACAAATACTTTACTATGTGCTGTGTGCTATAGCAGGCATAAGGACCACAATGTGAATAAAATGTAATTCTTCCCTGAAGGATCTAACACTCTAATAGGTCATGGAAGACTTACACGTATAGGTGTGCTATGTCACAGGTCTCTCCAGACTGAGGTTGAGAATCCAGTTGCTTAAATCCTCTGTCCTCTTCACTAGCTGGCAAACTCCTTTTCAAAAAATGACAAGGGACATTTCGCTACCTTAAGAAAGAAAATATTGAATGTCTACCTCACACCAGAATTAAATTGCTAGTAGATTTATAGACCTCGGTGTAAACAGAAAATCTATATTTTCCTTTGTGCATATCTTTATAACCTTGAGATAGAGAAAGATTTCTTAGGACACAAGAATAATGACAACAACAAAAAATAAAGAGAAGATTGATTAATTTGACTATATAAATATTAACACGTGATGACAAGACAAAGTTATGGATGGGATAATATATTTTCATTGCATATAGGAAACAATTGATGAGGATCCAGAATAGTAATTAGGATCTAGAATAGCTAATAAATTTCTACCAATAAGCAAGAGAATGACAAACATCTTAGTTAATAAATGAGCAAAAGATATGAGCCAAGCAACTAAACCTCATTAACAATCAGAGAAATGTAAATTAAAACAAAAGCAAAGTCTGCCAAAAATTTGTTCCAACATTCCTTCAGGGCAGGGATGGTTTTATTTAATGTATCCTTAGCACATTAGAGCTGCCCAGTAAATGCTTTCAGAATGAAAGCATTGTATCAATTAATCATAACCGTTCTTAAAGACAAAGCAGTACTTTCAACCAAAAGAGTAAAGAAATAATCAGGAAGCTGTTTTTATAGAAGAAATCTTAGTATTTTGGATCCAAAGATTCTGATGACAAACCTCAACTTATTACTGTTCTTGCTGAGTGCAGATGTTCCACCATTTTTAGGGAAAGGAAGTGATTGCTTGTATCTGGTTTATTTCAATTTCTTGTTCCAATTTGAGATATTTGGAGAAATATAAGTGTATTGTCTCACTGCTAATTAAACTTTGTGTGTTCTGAAAGCCAAGTCTGCTGCTGACCATGGTTAAATGGTGGTCAGTGGTAGGGGAGCACTAATGTTGATTCCCAATGTGGGCATATATTTTACAGTTACCTGAGTTCACATGTATGGTTAATGGTTAAAGGGTTCAGAACAGGCCTCCCTGAGACGGGCCACTTTGGCATGTGAATTATTTTGAGCTTAAGGCAATAGAGACCTTGCAGGCTTATGAGAAACTCTAACCTCTCCCTTAAAGAATTTAAATTAGGGGCCTTGCCCATAATAAGAGTTATCACCAGAAATAACTTTTTGTGACCTACTTATAGAGCAGGGCAAACTTCTAATTACTGAACATCTGCTATTCTTATGGTCCTTTAAACGACCTTCATCCCCTGTGAAGCCCCAAGGTGCTTCAGAGTGCCATGAGTACCTCACTCTCCCGGTCTGTCTTTGAACCTCTCATCTATATGGGGGTCTCTGACTTTCTCATGTATGCGAAGTTCTCATAACGTATGTAATTAAATTTGGTAATTTTTTCTCATTAATCTGTCTCAGGTAGATTTAATTATTAGACTAGCAAAAAGAAAACTAGAGGAAAATTTCTTCCTCCTATACAGTAGCGACATCGCCTTCTTAGTGTGCAAAATATTCAATTGTTTGTGATTTTCCTCAATGTATGTGAAACACACTATGAAACCACAATATGAAGTTATTTATTCCTTAAAATTACTTAAATTTGTTTTTGTTTTGAGAGTGTCAGTATATTCAAGGCCAGTCTTATTATTCAATTCTCTATTTTTGAAAAGTCCAGGTACCAGGGATTGTGTGGAATGTTTATGTTTTTAATGCTTTCCCCTGCAGTCTTGCATTCCTGAATTTCTATGAGCTTTAGCGGAAACTCAAGGCGGAAAGATTTTAAGTGGGTTCAGACTAGGAGTTTAGTACAATTCTTTTTTGTTATTGTTTTAAAACTAGCTTCTTTGTTACCAAAAGTTCCTGTCCTTTCACTGATCCCACAGAACTACTTGTGTACTTCTCCCTCCATGTGACAGGATGGAATTCTAGCAATTTTCTGCTTTCTAATTCAGAAATTACTCTGTTAGTATGTTGTGGTTCAAGAAAATTACATACAAGGATGTTTTGAGATTCACATAAAACTGTTGTAAATCAGCTCTGTGTTTGAAAAATCAGACTTTAAATAAGCACTTTTTAGGACATGGGCCCAATTGGCTTGTATCTTTAAGTTTTATGGGGCAATTTTTTCCTGTGGTTTTGGTGGGTTTTCTAATTTTTGTTGCCATTGTTATCTCAGAAGAGCCCTGGGGGAAGTAGTTGTGATTTGAAATCATGGTCCTACAACAACTGCTTCAAAACGGTTGTTTGATCAGTCTCTATATGGGTTTTGCTTCTAAGCCTACTCTGTTGGAAGACGTGAACTATTTTTTTTCTGTTGCTAGGTGAACAATTGCAAAGAGCAAGAATTATGATTATTTAGAATATATACTTTATAAATTTAATAAGAAGTCAAAGAACTTTTTTAGAGAAGAAAATCTAGTGCATTATGTATATATCACCCATATAATTGCATTTTTAAATAGCAACAAAAAGTTTCTAAAGCTTGTTAGGTCCGATATTATAAAGTGTGACCTAATCATGTTTTGTGAGTCTTTAAAAACTGGAGCATTACTGTGTACTTCAAACATTTTTTTTGAACTAGAAGAAATACATTTCCCTGTAGAAAAGTCACATGACCAGAAAAATAACTTAAAATGTATATAGTTATTATCCTTACCGTCAGGCAAGATCATAACTATCTAATCTACAAATCAACAAATTTTAGCTTTTATATTTCATCTACAGGTAAATAGAGGTTATAACTTCAATAGAAATAATTTCATCCCCTGTTCAGGTTTTATTTTATCTTCTTGTCAGACTGGAAATGAAAGCATCTCCCTTTCCTATCTATGCTCATCAGCTACTTCTCTTGAAGAATTTTGAGAACTAGAGAGTTCAAATTTTACTTGATTGTTTAAGTTCTATTTATTGTTTTCCTGACTATTCCCTGGCTTAAAAAACTCTAAGGAACTCTGAAAAGATGGCAGGATTGAAGCTGTTTATATGTGTGCATGGGGCGGGGTAGGAGGTTGAGGAAGGAGTGGTTCACTCTGCTTTCACTCAGGAGCCCAAGACCCAGAAATGATGTGACCAGACCTCCCCTCCGACCTTCTAGAGGGCTGCCTATTACATAATCTCTCTTTTGTAAAAGAGGCCACATCCTGCCTTCTCAATCTTGATGCACCTATTACATTTGAGGGTTCAAATTTGGTATATAAGGAACAAGATTTTCAGTTAGCAGAAAATGCACAACCTTTTTTTAGTACTTTCTGCTAAAACCATCCTAGTCCATTTTCCCTAGTCTAAAGCCTTCTGCCCCTTTGCTCAACTAAACTGCCTGAGCACAACTTCCACAGCTGCAATCTCATTAAAAATCATAATAAACTTCCCTCTCTAACATTTTTATAATTTTAACTGCTGAATACAGCCATTTCATTTTTCTTATGAAAAATATATCCATGGCTACCTTTATGTACTATACATTTCTTCAAGTGAAACTAAATGTGAATTTTAGAGTAAAATGATAAAGTTGTGTGATAGGAAACATCAACTCACAATGTTCTGGAGGTCTATGAGGCTGACTCCACCAGCGATCAATATTCTTTGTTCTCTCATTTTACAACATCTTTACGTTCCCCCTTATGCCAAGTGGAGAAATCTGCTCATTCAGAACTATGTACTAAGACAGATTTTTAAAAAGATATAAACAAATATTTTTAGCTTTCCAGTGTCTGACACCAAGAAAGTGAAATAAATGGTGAAAACTAATCTCCTGCCTCTAACACAGATACCTTCATATTTCTAGGTTTACTATTTATTTTGGTGGTCTGTATCCCTCAGGAGCTTGAGAAAGCCTGATAAAGGATGAAGGGAAGATACATTTCTGAGACTTAATGTGTCTCACAAGGTTCTTATTTAGTCTATATGCTGAAATGATGGTTTAGCTTTAGAATTTTAGAAATATATATATTTTTTCAAAATTAATAGGACGTTAGACTTCCTAGATGAATATTCTAATGTTTTCATGTGTTCCATACTTTCTTCCATTTCTTGTCTTTAATTCAACGTTTTGAGAGATAGCTACAACTTCACCTTATATATTTTATTGAACATTTTATTTCTATTGTCATAATTTAAAATCCTATTGCTTTCTTTTCTTTCTATGTGGATGCTATATTAACTCTGATCATTCTGAGAGTTTTCTTCTGTTCTCTGCATTGTCTTTTTTTCTTTTTGGTTTCTTATCTCATCCCCACAAAATATCTGGTAGTCCTTTGCTGTCATCTCATATTTTAATGGTGAGGCACTAAGCAACATGGCTGGGGCTTGCCAGCTGACACGCTTTGCTTAGGTTGATCAGAATGAGAATCAGCCGTTGTGTTGGGGATTCTCAGTTGTAAGTATCCTATAGTTGTCCTTTCAGGCTGGTTTTCCAAAAAAGGTCACTTTTAATCTGATCCAGTGTATAAGATTGGCAGACTATATGGGGGTGACGAGACTGGGGGGAATTTTACCATTCAGTATATAGATTTTTATTTAATTCCATTGCTTCCAACATGGGCACCTGCTTTCTGGGGTGTCTTGTGTCCTTTATTCTGATCATCCCTCTGGTTCAACCTCTCCAGTGAGTAAAGATTCTGTTTAGCCTGTTTTACAAACCTTCGATCTATCTTATTTCTGTCCCTACACACATTGCCTGTCTTTAAGAAACATCAGGTTCTACCTTGTGGTTCTGCAGTAGGAATCAGCTTGTTTGTGCTTTCCCCAACCATAGGCTTTTGGTTTTCAGTGTTTACTGGTCTACTAAGCTGGGTTAAAATAGTAAACAAATATATTTATTTGATTTCAACTTCTGAAAATTTCTTATCCTCCCTTATGTATCTTTATCATAACTGCCATTTTAATGGGATTTTAGAAAGGAGCAGAGATAAGTGTGTTCAATCAAGTTGAGAGGCCTATTCAAATTCTGTACAGAGTTTTCCAACTGTAGTGTTACAGTACGTTAAGGGGTCTATTCTCTGTTTGGCTCTCTCCAGGCTTCCCTCATCTTCATCTCCTACTTATTCTATACCTCATCTTTGTACCCTCTTGTCTACGACTATAGCACACAGTATGTTGCCTTTTCCTTTGGAAATTGATCCTGTACGTTTTATTTATTTTCCCCAGCTTTATTGAGATATAATTGACATATAACATTGTGTAAGTTTATGGTGTACAATGTGATGACTTGATAAAATGATTACCATATACATTTTAGATGCCATAACTAATTTTTGCTTTTAGCACAATGCAGTGAACAGAGAGAGGACATCTTGATTTAATCTTTCATTTTATGTTATAAAAAATTGTTAAGAAATATATACATTGCGGGCAGTAGAGGGCATATAAATCAAAATCTCTGAAAAAATTAAGTGAATAGCTAAATATTTACTTATAATTATATGCTAATCAAAATTTGAAGATAATGTAATACTATATTACCTTAAATAGTGGGATTAGGCAGCATATTTATAGGATGTCTACTAGTGAATAAATTATGTTATTAATTTTTAAATAGAGTTACAAAGAAAATTATTTTAAGAATTCCTGTATTTCATGATAAAGCATAGCTACAGATTTATTAAAATCCCTAAAACAGTAAGTTTAGACAACTATGGCTTTTTAAAATTAATCTTAGGTTCATTAGACGTTCTTGCTGAACTGAAGAATACTATCATTTGTACAATGTATTTAAAAAAAAAGTTTATATTTTATTTTCTATTTTTATTTGTTAATACAACATCTATCGCTGCGTAAAAGTTAAATCCTGAAAGGATTTTGGTTTTTAGCAGTAGCTCCCATTAGTCCTCTGCTCTCATTTCAGGTTTTATCCTGCAAGTTTTTCTTTCCAAGGTGTATTTGATTTGCCCTCCTGGTGTCCCTAACCAGAAGGGAACCACAGAAGAAAACATTGCTGAAGACATCCATTTTTGTTGCTTGCGTAGAACTGATTCACTAAGAAAATAGGAAAAGGTTAAATGAAAAACATTCTAGGGAAGTTACAAACCATATAAGGTGATGGGTGAGCCACAACTGTGGGCGTAATTTTTTTTTTTTTTCTTTTCTTTCTTTCAACAGGGAGACACATCGCCTCTTCCTCCCACTGTCCCAGACTGTCTGCGGGCTGATGTCAGGGTTGCTCCTTCTGAGAGCCAAAAATGTTCCTTCTATTTAGCACACAAGAATATCACCCACGGCTTCCTCTATCCTCCTGGTTAGTATAACTCTTTTTTAGAGCAGCAGCTTAGAAAGCCCTCATCAGCTGGATGTGGGCATGTGCCTTAAACATATACTCCCCAGCGAAACTATCTGCTTGGGCTAAACTAGCTGCCCAGGAGGCTTCCAGTGGTTGTGGGCTGGCCCGATGCAGTACAACAGCTATAATAAAGACTAATAAATTTTGCAGCGGGAACCACACATCAGCTCTAATCTGGCCCAGATGTTCAGAAAGTTTGGCAAGTTTAAGTTTAATTTTAAAACAGATTATTTGGAAAGGGATACAAGTGTCTAAAAAACATTCTTTTTTTTCTGGCTACAGCCCAAGCTAAGGCCTGCATCAAGCATGCAGCTGCTCCTGTGGAAAGAAATCAGGCTGGAGCTCAAGCCTCTCACTCATGCTATATAATCAAAATTTTTAAATTTTAGATTAAGCAGCTGAATGAACTTTAAGGTTTTGTTTTTTTGTTTGTTTGTTTTTTTTTTTTAAGAAAGCATCTCTCTTGGGAACATGCAAAAACCAGTTCAATTTTTCTAAAACTCATATCTCTTCCCCAT